AAATGTTTTAAATCTGTTTATCTGGATTAAGTGAGTAAAAACATTATATAACATTAAAAAACACAAATAATACTGATCACTGTTAAGAATGTGTTGTTTGTCAGTAAAGTGATGAATATGTACACACTTAAAAAGATGGTTCTTCAAGGGTTCTTTAAATGGCTTTATATAGAACCCTCAACACTCAAAGAACCTTTTGCATGATTCAAGAGTTCTCTGCATGGTGAAATGGTTCTTCAGATTGATGGAGAATGTGCTGTAGGTGGTTCTATATAGAACCTTTTTGAAAAGGGTTCTATATAGCACTAAAAGTGTTCTGTGATTGTTACAAGATTAATACTGCCACAATAAAAAAAACCTTTCTGGTGCTAAATAGAACTGTTTTCAAGAACTCTTTAATCATGCAAAGGGTTCTTTGTGTTTTCATGGTCTTATATAGTACCATTTTCTTCACCGAAGAACCCCTGAAGAACCATCTTTTCTAAGAATGTAGGTTAGAAGAACGCAGGTTTGGTTCCTGACTCTCACTGCTCTGGTGTTCTCAGATCTCAGATCTGTTCAGCTCCATCAGCTGATTAATGTAATGACGTATTAATCAGATAAAGCAGGTACTGGACAGTAACTGTAAATACTGTAAGCACTGGACTTCCTTGAGGAGACGGCAGGACACGGCTAAACGGGTCTGTTTGATTGTTTATTTGTTTTCTAATGTTGCTGTTTATGTGATAAACAAACTCGTAACGCGCAGATAAACAGGTTTATGTAAGATCTTAGTCTGTGTAGAGTCGGTTTCCAGGCCTATCCCTCACTCTCCCTCTCACTCGCTCGCTCACTCTCTTACTCACTCCCTCGCTTGCTCAGCCGCTTCGCCGCCCTCCGGCTTCATGTTCAGACCTGCTTCTTTTGGTGTGTTTAGAAAACACCTCGACCTGTGACACTGTTTACACTGACCTGCAGTAACTCTGACTGAGATACATCACATAAACAATAAACACACCGTATTGTGTTGTTAAACACCGTAACTCCTCATCACATAAACAATCGATAAACACACCGCTACACACTCCTCATCACATAAACAATAAACACACGGCTACACACTCCTCATCACATAAACAATAAACACACGGCTACACACTCCTCATCACATAAACAATCGATAAACACACCGTAACACACTCCTCATCACATAAACAATAAACACACCGCAACACACTCCTCATCACATAAACAATCGATAAACACACCGTAACACACTCCTCATCACATAAACAATAAACACACCGCAACACACTCCTCATCACATAAACAATAAACACACGGCTACACACTCCTCATCACATAAACAATCGATAAACACACCGCTACACACTCCTCATCACATAAACAATAAACACACAGCTACACACTCCTCATCACATAAACAATAAACACACAGCTACACACTCCTCATCACATAAACAATCGATAAACACACCGCTACACACTCCTCATCACATAAACAATAAACACACGGCTACACACTCCTCATCACATAAACAATCGATAAACACACCGCAACACACTCCTCATCACATAAACAATAAACACACGGCTACACACTCCTCATCACATAAACAATCGATAAACACACCGTAACACACTCCTCATCACATAAACAATAAACACACGACTACACACTCCTCATCACATAAACAATAAACACACCGCTACACACTCCTCATCACATAAACAATAAACACACAGCAACACACTCCTCATCACATAAACAATAAACACACAGCTACACACTCCTCATCACATAAACAATAAACACACAGCTACACACTCCTCATCACATAAACAATAAACACACTGTAACACACTCCTCATCACATAAACAATAAACACACAGCTACACACTCCTCATCACATAAACAATAAACACACAGCTACACACTCCTCATCACATAAACAATCAATAAACACACAGCTACACACTCCTCATCACATAAACAATAAACACACAGCTACACACTCCTCATCACATAAACAATCAATAAACACACAGCTACACACTCCTCATCACATAAACAATAAACACACAGCTACACACTCCTCATCACATAAACAATCAATAAACACACAGCTACACACTCCTCATCACATAAACAATAAACACACCGCAACACACTCCTCATCACATAAACAATAAACACACTGTAACACACTCCTCATCACATAAACAATAAACACACTGTAACACACTCCTCATCACATAAACAATAAACACACAGCTACACACTCCTCATCACATAAACAATAAACACACCGTAACACACTCCTCATCACATAAACAATAAACACACCGCTACACACTCCTCATCACATAAACAATAAACACACCGTAACACACTCCTCATCACATAAACAATAAACACACCGCAACACACTCCTCATCACATAAACAATAAACACACTGTAACACACTCCTCATCACATAAACAATAATCACACCGCTACACACTCCTCATCACATAAACAATAAACACACTGTAACACACTCCTCATCACATAAACAATAAACACACCGCTACACACTCCTCATCACATAAACAATAAACACACCGCTACACACTCCTCATCACATAAACAATCAATAATCACACCGCTACACACTCCTCATCACATAAACAATAAACACACAGCTACACACTCCTCATCACATAAACAATCAATAATCACACCGCTACACACTCCTCATCACATAAACAATCAATAATCACACCGCTACACACTCCTCATCACATAAACAATAAACACACAGCTACACACTCCTCATCACATAAACAATCAATAATCACACCGCTACACACTCCTCATCACATAAACAATCAATAATCACACCGCTACACACTCCTCATCACATAAACAATAAACAGACCGCTACACACTCCTCATCACATAAACAATAAACACACCGCTACACACTCATCACATAAACAATAAACACACCGCTACACACTCCTCATCACATAAACAATCAATAATCACACCGTAACACACTCCTCATCACATAAACAATCAATAATCACACCGTAACACACTCCTCATCACATAAACAATAAACACACTGTAACACACTCATCACATAAACAATCAATAATCACACCGCTACACACTCCTCATCACATAAACAATCAATAATCACACCGTAACACACTCCTCATCACATAAACAATCAATAAGCACACCGCTACACACTCCTCATCACATAAACAATAAACACACTGTAACACACTCATCACATAAACAATCAATAATCACACTGTAACACACTTATTACCTAAACTATAAGGTGGCGTGTGCTACTAAATATGTATGTATGTTTGTTTTTGTGTATTGAGAAGCAGTAGTGAGTAGTCAGTAGTGAGTCAGTAGTAAGTCAGTCATCAGTCAGTAGCAAGTCAGTAGTCAGCAGTGAGTCAGTAGCAAGTCAGTAGTGAGTCATTGGCAAGTCAGTAGGGAGTCAGTACTTAGTAGTGATTCAGTAGTCAGTAGTGAGTCAGTAGTGAGCAGTGATTCAGTAGTCAGTAGTGAGTCACTAGTGAGTCAGTAGTTGGTAGCAAGTCAGTGGTGAGTCAGTAGGGAGTCAGTAGTCAGTAGTAATTCAATAGTCAGTAGTCAGTAGCAAGTCAGTGGTGAGTCAGTGGTGAGTCAGTAGTGAGTCAGGAGTGAGTCAATAGTGAATCAGTAGTCAGGAGTGAATCAATAGTGAATTGTTAGTCAGTAGTGAGTCAGGAGTCAGTCAATAGTGAATCATAGTCAGTAGTAAGTCAGTAGTGAGTCAGGAGTGAGTCAATAGTGAATCAGTAGTCAGTGGTGAGCCAGTAGTGAGTCAGGAGCGAGTCAGTAGCTAGTCAGTAGTGAGTCAGTAGTCAGTAGTGAGTCAGCAGTAAGTCAGTAGTGAGTCAGGAGAAAGTCAATAGTAAGTCAGTGGTGAGTCAGGAGAGAGTCAATAGTAAATCAGTAGTCAGTAGTGAGTCAGTAGTAAGTCAGTAGTGAGTCAGGAGTGAGTCAATAGTGAATCAGTAGTCAGTAGTGAGTCAGGAGTGAATGAATAGTGAATCAGTAGTCAGTAGTGAGTCAGGAGTAAGTCAATAGTGAATCAATAGACAGTAGTAAGTCAGTAGTGAGTAAGGAGTGAGTCGATAGTGAGTCAGCAGTCAGTAGTGAGTTTCTCTCTGTTTTATCTCTCTGTTCATTTTTCTATGTTCTCTCTCTCTCTCTCTCTCTCTCTCTCTCTCTCTCTCTCTCTCTCGCTCTCTCTGTCTCTGTCTCTGTCTGGTTACAGGCCGTGGCTCAGCTCTTACTTTAACCCTCTGAACGGTTCTGTATGCGGTTCTACTCTTCGGTTCCTCACTGTCACAACCTCAGAACTCACACGTTAGTCTGATAGATACTGAGTGATAAATCTAATAATCGATAACTGAATAATAAGCGATTAACTAAACTCCACAGTTTCAGTCAGTCTGTATGAAGCTGTAATAATGAAGGTGTTCTGATGATAAACTGAGCTGTAAGTGATTCGTGATATCTGATAAATCTGCATTGAGAATGAACTGATAAAGAAACTGACACCCACAATGCCTCATATTTGAAAACCCATAACCAAAATCTCACTAATAAACAGATAATCAGAGTTTTTACAGTAAACAGAAAATTAGCTTATTGTTTAATAACTCTTCCATATTTTCTACCATGTTCTAACTTTATATTGTTCCCAAAATACTATAAACTGTGAATAAAGTGTTGGTTTAAGTTTTGGTGTTTATAGCATTTCAGTCACTGTATGAGTTATTACTAAATAACAGTTATTACTATGACAAGTGACCCCAAACTTTTATATATAGTTTATATTTGTTGTGTAAACACTGATGAGCTGTGAAGCTTTTCTGCTGTGCTGCTGCGTCTGTGTTGTCAGTCTGAGGGTCTAAGGTGACCATGTGAGCGTTGCTGACCTTTCCTGGAGATCAGTCTGGCCAGCAGCTCGCTGAGGTTGGCACGGGGGTCTCCCTGGTCGTCGGGGACGGGCTGGGTTTTGAGTGGGCTGTCGGAGCGAGAGACCCTCAGACCCGCCTCCATCTGAGAAGGGAGAACATCGCCCCCATCCTGCGGCAGAGAGGAGCGCGGGCGAGCGAGACAGGACACGGAGAGAGAGACCAGGAGCACACAGACACCCACAGCACCGTACATCCTGAGAGAGAGAGAGAGAGAGAGAGAGAGAGAGAGAGAGAGAGAGAGAACATAAAGAAAGAGAACAGAGGCACAACAGAGACAAAACAAAGAGAGAATGTGCGTAAAAGATCTGTAACGTACTTGTATATATATATATATATATGTGTGTGTGTGTGTGTGTGTGTGTGTATACTAGTAAGATATTTAGTGTTTTAATCAGTTTCCTCACTTTTCCACAGTGCACTGTCAATAAAAGCTTTATAGTCCTCTATATTGCTTAATATATCATTTATAGTAAAAATGATGATGATGATGATGATGATTACTATTATTATTATTAACATTATTATATTAATCCATTATATTTTCCTTCCAGTCCTGAGTCTCTGACTCTCACAGCTGCTCCAGTGTTTATGCTCAGGTACACCGTGTTTGTGTAGCTGCTCTGATCTTGTGTGTTATGATTATATATTACCTTATATATTATCCTATTTTTCTGCATGATTCTTTTTCATCTGACTCTATTTCTGTTTAGATGCAGATTCACACAGACGTGTCAGGACGTTACAGAGACAGTGAGACTGTGCTGTATGTACAGTCATATTTATAGTTATAGTTATATAGTAGTTTATATATTATATATTAATGCAGGATTTAAACTGTTTAAGTAGTTTTTACACAGATTTCACTGCAGACGAGCACAAACACACACACATACACAATACACACTACATACACACTATATACACATTTAGTAACATCTACACACACTCACTACACACACTCACACACTATACACTACACACACTACAAACAGACTTAGTAACATCTGCACACAACCTGCTGCAGCAGCTCAGATCAGTTAGTTTAGTAAAGAACAGACAGACAGACAAACAGACAGATAGACAGACAGATGGAGAACTGGAGGTTTACCTTGTTGTGGTAGAGGAGCGTGTGCGGCTGCAGGAGAGTGAGGGAGGTGGTTGGTCCTCATGAAGACGAGTGAACGAGGGAGCGGAGTTTATATACACTACTGTGACGCACGCACGCACACGCACACACACACACACACACACACGCACACGCACACACACACACACACGCACACACACACGCACACACACACGCACACACACACACACACGCACACACACACACATGCGCGCACACGCCGAGGGTGTCAGTGTTCCTCTGAACGCAACTCAGTGTAACTAACCGACAGACTGTCAGTGATGGAGAAGATTTCCACTCAGACTGTTATTAAAGCACTGACAGGTTAAACCATATCACACTGTATCACACTGTACTGCACTGTATCACGCTGTACTGCACTGTATCACACTGTACTGCACGGCTCTGTTACTTTACTTTGTTAGCTAGAACACTGTCAGAGGTGTCTGTAATCATAAGTTATAAATCATGTGTGCTTAAAAGTCATGAAGTCAAAAGCTTCTTTCTTATGCCTTTACAGTGGTGGTGATAGGAACCAGGGGTCGCCATGACTACAACACAAATATAGACATTTTATTTACTATCCAGAACCACCAGTGAACCTACACGAGTCTTCTGAGTTTATATGAATGTTGATGATGGAAAATAGTGGAAAATCTGAAATAAGTTTTTTTTGGGGACTATTTTGCCTCACAGCGCCCTGCATGTATCCCTCCACCATGAATGGAGTTTAAGTTCTCTAAACTATCATAAAACAGTGTCTCAGTCATCAGGCAGTGAATTCATAACCATTTCATGTAGGAACTTTCTGTGAGGGAGCTTTTAGAGGTGGACGTCTGGTTCCTATCACCACCACTGTGAACAGTTCTGACTCGGTAAGTTTATCTAGAACAGAGCGTTTCACACCAAACCACTCTGAACTGTTCTGAACCCCTCTGAACTGATTACATCTTAACTGTTTAATTATGCAGTAATTTGTAAAGCTCCCTTTAACAGTCTTCATCTTTAGTCGAGTGACTTGCGGACCTTCTCACCTTGTTAGATGATGTTCCTGGTCATATGAAAGTAACAGTTCAGTGAAAAATGAAACGTATGTTTTTCACTCACTCAGAGACGTTTTTGGTGTCCAGACTTTGCTTCTGTAGTTTTGCACTGCAGCTATGAGGATAACATGGCTAATTAACAGTAGAAGTCAATAATCACCGAAATATATTCTGTAAATACATCCTCAAAAACGTCTCTCGTCCTGCTAAAACTGCAATCGGCTCTCCATGAAGGTGGAGCAGATGTGTAGATGTGGTTTAGGACTCAGTGTGACTCACTGAGAGAGAGAAACAGGAACCAAACCATGTAGCTGAACTGTGGTCAGCTGAGTTGAATAACATCTGAGTTTAGTGGAAAACTGTAAATTTGAACCTCTGCGTTAAGCACAATTCATCATATCATAACATTTAAAAGACTAAATTCTACTTTTCTGTAATCTTCCATCAATTTGTAGTATAATTAAATTAATATTAATCAATGATATGACCTCCAGTGAGCTGAGAGACCCTCTCTGATAGTTCTGATCAGCGATGCGTCCTTCATGACTGAGCTGACTCTTTGTCTTGGCTCGTCAGGTGAAGGGTGTGAGTCGAGTGTTTGTTTAAGAGCTCTGTAGATGTCGTGATGCTGTAGCTAAAGATCCTTCTGGATCTGCTTGGAATGTGTTCCGGCTCCCTGACGTTACCCTCAAACCTGCCGCGTGTTGAGTTATGCTGCGTTTTCACTGCTCCAGCACGTCAATGCGCCGCAATCTAAGTGTCAATTCCGTCAGACGCGGCCGTGCGGTGCATTATGGGTCAAAAAGCTGAGCGGAGCTGAACCTTATGCAAATGAATCTGGCCAACACAACGCATCTAACCAATCAGGAGGCAGCTGGTGTTTGCGTGACTCATATCTGCAGCCCAAGGTACGAAACCTCGGTTCCACTTTTCAAACGTTCCTGCATGACAAAGAATACCAGCGGAAAAAGCTCCTAAATTTAAACACAACAGTTTACCTCCAAAATTTAAAATCCAAGAGGGAAAATTATCAGTTGGATGATAATAAACCAAAATGACTGATGCTGAACTCAAGTGCTAATTAACGACTTATTTCCAATTTAACCTTAATGACTGTGTCAGACTGATGAGATCAGACTCTGGTAGTGTTTTGAGGAGATGCTGAAAGTTCCTCCTGTTTATTCTCCCTGTTGAAGATCAGCTCCTCAGCCTCTCCCCTGTTTCTGCTGCTGTTGCTGCTGTTATCATCGCACTGACAGGTGGGATGTCAACAATATGGCGGCCGAGACAGGTGTGAAAGGTGAAAGGTCACGTTATGTGTCACACCTGCTAAACTCGTGTAGGGCAGCGCGGGGAACAATTTAACACAGACTATTTACATTGTTATAGACGGTCAAGCAGAGTGAGCTTCATTTCTCAGCCACGGTCTCCCACAAAATTCAGAGTGATTGGTCTGCGTTTTAATGTAGTTCTGTTATAACTGAAGTTTGGGGGGAGGAGCATGGCTGAAACCCCTCCTTCTTCCAATCTGGCCAATAAATTCTTCCAATGCCCTATAAATTCACATCCTCACCTTCCGTTCCCGTGATGAAGTGTTCAATCTCCACCGCCCCCCCATCTCCTCCCTGTTCCTCAGTCCTACATCAGTCCTACTACAGCTATGAGGGTCTGGGCTTCTAGCTACAGGCAGAAGCTGCACAGATCTCCAGCCCCAGTTCTCAGAGTTCCCCCCTCCCTCAATCAGTCTCCCTCATACTACCATCACCATGTTGAAGGCACGGTCTGAACTCTTAAAGAGATCTGAGCCAAAGAGTGTTTTCAGGGCAAGTAAGTCATTTTTTCAGCACAAGTTTTTTTCGGTTACTGAGCTGTTTGTGTGAATCACAGAATACAGCATGATGTCACTGTAATCTCCATCTTGTTTCTACAGTGCAGCACCGTTTGGAAGCAGCTGACCAGCTCACAGCAAGTGCAGCTGGGCTTCAGTCCAGCCTCCGCACTGCGGGGTCAGTTCTTACACAGCGTTACAGCTTAGACACCTTCAGCACACAAAGACTAATAAAGCACATTCAGTCTTTTAGTTCCATTTACACAGATTTTAAAGTTGAAAAGAGAAACATCTGAAAATATCTGAGATTTTCTGCTTTATTAGTGTCTTTCAGATGGACAAAAATAAATCTGTCATTGTTTGACACACAGACTCAGTCAGTGTTCATGTATAATTTGATGTGTTTGTATCAGTTGATTCGTCTGTCTGTCTCTTTTATAGATGATAATATGTAATGCAGAACAGCTGGGAAATATATATGAATTATACTGAATTAACTCTGTTTGCACTGATTGATCAGACGTTTCTAGCAGGTGTTAAACTGACCCTCTGTCAGTTACCAGCAGATTTACAAGCAGTACAGTTGGCATTTCCCAGTTTCCAACACAGCATGAAGTTTTACTTTAAATGAAATGATAGCTAACATTGGTAACTGGGCTAAACTGGAGATAAAAATCACTGCTACTCGTGAGCTGAGCTAACTGACCTGAACACTCATCACCAGCTCTGATATGAAGCTCTGACTCCAGAGTGAACGTTCCTCAAGTGTTCTGTACTCTCTCAGAAATAAAGGTACTAAACTGTCACTGGGTCAGCAGCCCCCCTCTTGTCACTGGGGTGGGACCCTCAAGGGTCCATCTCAGTACCTTTAGTCAGGGAACATAACTGAACCATAATCCACTGAAATGATATGTTCTAAGCTGTACTGACTCCACACACCCCGTCTCGTCTCCAGGCTTTTATTTTACTGTTCTGTTTAAAACATTCGTTTATGAAAAGGTACAAATACGAACTTTTCACCTGGAGAAACTTATTTAAGGTTCACAATCAGACCTTAAAACCACTGTTGGAGCTTTGAGGGAGCATTTACACTGTTTGTACCTTGATGAATGAGAAATGTTCCTGAACAGAACCTTTATTTCTGACAGTGTATGTTTATGTTTTTGAAAGAACCTGAAATCCTGAAATGCAGCCAGTGCCTGAGTGGGGGGCTACGTGTGTGATGTCACTTTGAGCCCCCAAATGTTAAGAAATGACATGTTTACATTAAACCCACTCAGAGACACATCTGAGGGTGAGATTAAATAATTCCAAATGAATCAGAATTGATCACAGACATTACTGATTAGCTCAGATTAGAGATTAATCAACTCCTCTAGTCAGGTTTAACAGTCTGTCAGTGTTAAACCAGTAACGCTCAATATTTAATATTCCATCTAAAAATAGAATCTGCAGCTAAAATCACTGTTTCTCTTTTTTCTCACTGAACCTTCTGGGTTCTGAGATCCTGACTTAAACAGAATAGTTAAGTGTGGAGAGAGAGAGAGAGAGAGAGAGAGAGACGCCTCGATTAGACTGTGGAAACAGAGAAAAGAGGAAAATCAATCTCTCTCTCTCTCTCTCTCTTTCGCTCGCTCACTCTCTGTTCTCTTTGTTCTATTTCTCACTCTCTCTTTCTTTTTATCTCTCTTCTCTCTGTCTATCTCCCTCTGTTCTCTATCTCCCTCTGTTATCTCTGTCTCTCTCTCTGTCTCTCAATGTCTCTCAATGTCTCTCTCTGTCTCTCTCTGTCTGTCTGTCTCTCTCTCAGATTTCTCTCTCCCAAATTTTATAATTTTGTGTTCTAATTTTGTGTTTCTAGTCCCCATATTTCACTGCCATATAACATTATTGGTTCACTTACTGATTTAAATCATTTTAACCAGATTGCTGGGAATTTGGAAATTGTTTTTCTAATCATGTAGTAAGATCTGCGAGTGATTTAAAAAGTCCTGCTGAATTTAATATCACACCTAAATCAGAATAGTGTGTGATATTACGGTGTCTTTGAAAGTAAACTGGTATTTCCTCTCCTGTAATCTGGCTTTATTTTGAAAAATAAGAGGCCTAAGGGCCCAGTCTTCACAGTCAGTCTCCAGTATTGACAGGTTCTGCTGGAGTGCGTCTTTTGTTGGTCCTAATATTACTAGATCATC